TTCAGAGTAAAGAGACCGGCATGGCCAGGTGGTTAGGGCGCTCGACTCGCGGGTTCGAATCCCAGTCACACCAAACATGCTCGCCCTTTCAACCGTGGGGGCATTATAATGTGACGGTCAATCCCATTATTCGTTGGTAAAGGAGTAGCCCAAGAGTTGGCGGTGGGTGGTGATGACTAGCTGCCTTCCCTCTAGTGTTACACTGTTAAATTAGGAACGTCTAGCGCAGATAGCCCTCGTGTAGCTTTTCGCGAAATTCAAAAACAAACAAACAGAGTAAAGATGAATTATATGTAAGTCTAGGTAGTGGGATGCATGGGCAAAGTCTAAACTAAACTTGCATGGTGGTGGCGAGAGTTTGGGAAATATGGGAATAAAAAAAATGATAGGATAACTATGACAACGAGGAAACTAGAAGAAAAAAAGATTTTGAGCATGATAATTTGAATAACAGTCTTACAAGATTAATAAATTTAAGATTTCTATACGTGCTCACTTCACATGTTTTCTTTTTGACGCATATGACTCCCTCTATTCGATTCTACCGAAGTGATCTAGTGCAGACGTTTTTCGATTGTGCTCTTTTCACGTGTTTTTTTATAATTTCTGTGAAATAGTGATTTCATTTCAGTATTTCCCTTTAGTTTGCTTCCTATAGTTTTGACACGATAACTTACCTATGTTTGTTCTGTTTCTTTTTTTACTTTTTGACCATTTATTATGAATTCCAAAGTTCTTGTCACCACTTCGGACTTTCTTTTACCTACTTTTAGCACACTTACGCAGACTTCAGGTCAGGGGACCTCGACTGAGAAATTTTCGGCTTTAATTCGATGGGAGATTTACTGTTATGTTAGTTGACCTTCTTCCGATATTGCTCGAATTCCTCGTGAATCCGCCATACCTGTTCATGACGAGGAGGATTTTGACAGCTTTTTTCCCTCCACCTAACTATGTTGCGCCTTCCCAAGCGTCTATTGTAGAATCTGCTAGGCCTAACTGAGCCTTTTTAGATATTATTGCACAGTGTGTTTCATTTTATCCATTTCCCCCGATTTTTTTATTCCGGTTCCTTCCTCTGAGTATTTTGTTTTTCCTCCTTCTGTTGACATCAGGGTTCATGCTGAGCATTTTTTTTCTCAATTAAAAGTGGGTTCTTGCATGCCTCACCCTCCACTGGCCTTGGATCATTTGCCTTGGCTTAAGTTAGCGATGGTGAAAGCTACATCGACAAACAGTGGTAGGAACAGGTAAAGGACAGGAGGGTACAGGGTGGGGAAGATGAACAGGAAAGTGTAAGAGCTCACAATGAGACAAACGAGCAACAAAAGATGAAAGAGTCGAATGTTGTCTCACAGATTCCACACGTGATTCAAGAAAAGGGTAATCTATTTGATTAGGACCAATGAGGGCGCATTTGGCAGATTTTGTTCCCCTATAGCGAGAATTCACTACCGATTCTTGGGTTGCCCAGATTTTGTCAGAAGGACTTTCCATCCATTTACTTTCCCCACCCCATTGTCTCCTATACCTATATCCTTTCTGTTACCTTGGAATCCTACTACCAGTCAGCATCTATCTGAGGTTGTGCAGAATCTCCTATCAGAGAGAGCTATCAAGCCTGTCAGCCAACCTTCCCCAGGTTTTTACTCCACGTTTTGGTGGTCCGCAAGAAAACAAGGGACTGGCTTCCTGTGACCGATCTGTCCTGCTTCTATCACTTTTTGGATATTTCCCATTTTACCATGGGGTTCTTTCTCATGCTACAGTGGGCTTTTTCTCCAGGACTGTGGATGACCAATGTAGATGTCTCAAATGCTTATCTTCATATTCCTATTTCTCATCAGTCCAGATGCTATCTTTGGTTTGTCCAGCATGGGGTTGTGTGTATCAGTTTCATGCCTTGTCCTTTGGGCTTGCTTCAGTTCTGTATGTCTTTCGTCAGGTGGTCAAAACCTTTGCCTGACTTCTGCATGCTCGAGAGTTGCGTTTACAACATCACATGGATGACTGACTATCCCACACCTTCTGTTTTCCCAGTACCAATTGGTTTTTTCCTCTCCTACCCTCTCCTTTTTGTTGTGTTTCTTTTGGATTCATAGACCACCTCGTTGGGTGGTCCTTCCGGGTTGGAAGGTCAATATTGTTCTTCACTGCCTTACTCTACCTTTGAACCTTTGTCTTCATGTTCCTTGTTTCGCTTATCCCTTAAGACTTATTGCCTACTCCCATTACCCTGTGAGCATTGCCGGTGTGATATATTTGCCACCAACATTTCATGTTTATCCGGATCAGTCTTTCCTCCCCAAAACTTCGGCGGCTCATGAGGGTAACTCTTCCTTCTCGCCGATTTCACTTCCATTCATATCCCACCTTTATTCCCAGTCGGATTTGGATAGAATTCTATGTCCTGTTCATTCTCTTCTTTGTTCCATTATCTGCATAACTTCCTCCATTTCATGTTCCCATTCCTACCTTTTCATTCCCTGACAACATTCCTCTGTTCATGATTTTTATCCTTCCACCTTACTAATTGGGCTTGGCAATTGATTTGATTGGCATATTCCTTCATGTCTCCTTCTTCCCGAAATTTATTCCTGCTTTTGTCACATAAGAACCAGTACCTTCCATTTTTACTGGTATCTTACCTCCACAATCCATTGGAAGAAATTCTTCAGGCATATGGACTACACCTCATATGTTCATCTCCAACTATCTTCATTGGGTAGCTGTTTCTCATTGGGATACCATCTATTACCTGTCGCCTTCCTTCAAACTTCAGTTCTATTAGAAGGTGAGGTGGCTATATATTTCTAGATGCAATCCACTTCCGCACAGTGGAACCAGGAGGGTGGCATTGTGCTCTAGCTTATGTTGTGATCCTATCCGGAGGATAATGTTAATTGGGGTGACAGTTCTTCCTTTCACAATCCACCTCTAATAGTTTTTACTGTATGAGGCTGCTGATGTGCAGTGAGGTGCCAGTCTGATTGAGTTTGATGTGACCAGCCACATTGGCACATTTTTTCCTACCATTATTCAGGTGTTGGGTTCATGGATGTGTGGTTGGTTATGGATTTGACATGTACCCATTTCATAGATTGCTTTGAACAGTATATACTTCTGTTCTACTTAACTTGAGGTGAAGACGGTAGGGACCCTCCTCCTACCACTGGTCCGAGGTTCTATTCCCGATACCACTTGTTTTTGTGTTGGAGTTGACTGTCCCAATACAATCTTTTGCACCCTAGCCACTTTACACCCATTTTAGCTTTCCTATCTGTAGATGGTTCTTTTGCTGTGGTTTGGATTTCAACCCACCCGGTTTTCTCTTATTTTTTATTGTGCTCCTCTCATTTTCCACCTGTGTATGCAACACCTCTTTCCACACTGGGTGCAGAGTATAGGGGGATCATACATCTGGGGTATTCTTCAGAAACTTTCAAAGAATACTTCTTTCTATCCCTCACACCAGTTCCTTTACCTATTCAATATAAGATTCTACCTGTACATGTGAGAGGAGGTAAGGTACAGTATGGTATCGGAAGTTATTATTTTCCTATACTGAAAATATATTTCTGATAGGTACTTACTTTTTATCACACTTCCCACCTTTCCTCCCCCACTGAAAATCGGTGCTTCCTTTCTGCCTAATCTCGAAGTGATAATTCGGAAGAATCCAATAGAGAGAGTCACATGCGTCAGGAGGGTGTGTGGCACTCCTATTGATGGAGGGTTGTCTCATGATGATTTACATGCAAGAGGCAATTGAACCACGCTGATCGTGGGGTACGTGGAAGTTAAATGCTTATGGCATGCGAAAACATTTTTGCATATAGAGGGCAGCACTGAATAGCTATACATGTGAGAAGAAGTAAGAAGTTATCGGAAATATATTTTCACTAAATGAAAAATAATAACTTTAAAGATAATCATATAGATTCAAGAATAAGATTAGTTACTATTATTATAATGTTTGGAATATTAGAAATAAAACAAGAGTTCATGGCTCTGTTTGGAATGAAAGACTATGATATATGACTGAAAATGACTGAAACTTGGTTAGATTTAGAAAATGCTCATAACTGGAATTATTTTGAAATTCCATGTTATAAATTATTTAATAGTGTTAGACTTTTTCAATCGGGGTAGGGGTTTGGTGGCCTTTACTATTAGGGATGAACTACAGCCTGTTAGTACTGAAGACATCAAAATGGTACGAAATATGTTGAATTATAGGGGTTACAATCGGGGATTTCATAATAGAATCGTTTTTAGTTGGCAGTTGTTATAGGCTACTTAATCAGAAAGATGATATCATTGAGAAGTTGTGTGATGAGATCGATGATGTTAGTAATGAAAATAATGATGCAATAATTATGGGTGACTCTAATTTTATGCATATTGATTGAGTTTGTATCAGATAGTTTCTTGATGTTATTCAGAGCGATTTTAAATTTATTATCTGCTAATGAGAATATGATTGTAATAATTGAAGTGAGGGAACCTTTTTGGAAAAGTAATTATTGCATAATTAGGTTTGATGTTTTGCTGCATGAAGAGATAACAAGCAATGAAATTTTAATTCTTAGATTTTCAGAAAGCACATTTTAAGCCCATTATGCAAGATTTATCATTAGTGAATTGGAGTAATGAATGAAAAGATGATGTGGGACAGATTTGAGAAATTTTTAATAATAAATTACTTTTAATTAATGACAAGCAGAAAAAGAATAACAGGAATATCAAACCTGATTGGCTTGATAAAAATATAAATTAGATGTTTAAATAAACAAATACAATGAAAGATTTATAAAACTTAAGAAAGATATTTGGTTAAATAAAAAAGTTAGTAAATCATAAAGGGCATATGAGAAACGGCTGACTGATAGTGTTTATTTTAACATATTTGCTGTTAAATTTGTTAAAATAAAGGTTGGAAAGATGTAAAAAATTGGGATTGGGTCCTTAAAAAATGTTTATGGCACAGTTTTTGTGAAAAACTGAGCTTTAACTATTCACTTCTGTTTTTACAAAATAAGATATTAACAGTATTCCTAACTAACATTCCATGAGAAATAATAGAATTGACCTAAATTATTAGATATTAATCCTTTGGTGGTAAAAAGAATTATTGAGAAACAAGAAACAGATAATGGACTAAAATCAGGCAAGGTTTTTTCCCCAGGATTTTTAAGGAGGTCAAAAATCAAATATGAAAGCCTCCCTCTTTCATTTTTGGTTGGTCAATAAAATGTGAGGAGGTGCTTGAGGATTGGAAAACTGTTAATGTTACTCCTATTTTTAAAGGGAGTGATAAGAATTTCTCTGAATATTATAGGCTAATTGATATTTTTCCTGTTATGGGAAAAATTCTAAAGAGTCTGATAAATAAAGCTTTGCAAAATAATTTAGTGAAATATTATGTCATAAAAGAGAACCAATATGGAATCACTGAAGGGAAAACTTACCTTACTAATATTTTGTTGAGGATATAACTGGATGAAGGAAAGGGTTTAGACTTGGGGTACATAGATTTGTTAAAAGTGTTTGATAAAGATTGGCTAAGAAAATCACATTGATAGGGGATAGGGAAAGACTAGTTAACTGGATTATAGGATGGTCAGATGAGAGCAGTCAAAAAGTAGTTATTAATGGAGTTTAGTCAAACTTGACCCTTTTTACTGTTCTTCATGGATCAGTGATTGTACCTTTGCTGTTTCTTGTTTACATTAATGATATTGATTGGGGTATAATTAGTACATTAGTAATGTTTGCTGATGACATTAAACTCTAGCTGTATTGAGGATTTTGAGGTACTTTAAAATGACTTGGATCACTTGTTACATTGTACAAACATTTGGGAAATGACCTTTAATTATATGCAAAGTAATGTATTTGGGTTAACGTAATTTGGATTACACTTTTATAAAGATGGGGAACCCACTCAGTAGCATCAATGAAGAGAAAGAATTTGGCATAGTGGTGGAAAAGTCACTCAAGCAATCATAGTAGTAAAGCTAATAGAATTTTAGGGTGTATTAATAGTCATTGATTACAACTTAAAAAATGTAATTATCTCAATAGAAATTACTAGTTAGAGGAGGGCTACTAAGATGATTTAGGAAATAGAAGGATTAATTGATAGATATATTTTCTCTTGAGAATATAAGAGTAAGAGATGACCAAAGCATATTAAAGTTTACAAAACTCTCTACAGGACCAATAGGATAAAGGTCTCTCTTTGTGCTAAATTATGAAGATAATAAGGATCTCTAGAATTTTACTGAATTATATTAAAACAAGCCTTTTTGAATTTTAATCTTTGTTTTGTAGCCTAAACTTTTCAATGAAATTATTTCTAAAAGCATTTTTGAATAATAGTTACTTAAAAAAGGATAATGCAAGAGACTTAGAACAATCAAATGATATCTAAAAATTATATCTATTGACAAATAGTTAACACATAAAAGAATTAATAGATATTTAACTTACAAAACAACACAATATATTCTATTAAATTCTCAAAGAAAAAAAAAAGGTAGTAATGATTTGACACATTCTATGATGTCACTTACCAGTTAATCTATGCTTTTTACTTTTTTTTAAAGTTGTTCAAAATGAAGTTTTTGAATATTTGGAAACTTTTTGAACAAAAGATTATAATATATAAGTTATGTTAATGTAATTTTTCTTACAAACAAATTAACATTTTTATCTTCCATTTTTGGAAAACATTAAACTTTTGAACTTCATTTCATCTATTATAGCACAGTTTATCATATAACTGCAGTTTATCAAGTAAAAGTTTTTTCTGTGTATTTCCTAGACTGCTAACTCCACAATGCTTTCAATGCCTAAGACACCTTCTAACTCCTCCTCTGATGTGGAAGAACCATCCCAAGATAAAGATAAACCAGTGAGTGGCTTAGTTATATATTTTATTAATGCCTGGATTATCTTCAGAATTATAAGAAGAATTTTTGAAAAATAATAAAATTCACTAGAGAATTACAAAACAAAAAGTTTATAAAAAATCTCAAGTGTTTATGTGAATACTATAAAATATTTTTATGAAATTACCCATGATAACATATAAACATAGCTTGTAGATTTTTGTGTAATATATATATATATATATATAATGAAGAGTACAAAGCTGATAAAGCTAATTTTTATTTGAGGCATTGTGGGAAATCTTGTGAGAAGC